TGTTTTAGTTATTTTGTTATTTATTATTAAAAAAGGTGACATGGTTGCTAGATTTTGAATAACTCGCTTTTTTGGCAGTCTTGATTTGGCCTCTTTCCATTTGTTTATTACTGTTTGTTCGTGTTGCAAGCTGTGCACCATCTTACGTTAGTGTTAACACTTTTAGTATTGTAAACACAAGTATTGTTAGCATTGTAAACATAAGTAATAAGTAATCAAATACATTGTTTGCAAGAATCTCAAAACACAATGATGCCAAATGGCTTTAAAATACAACTGAAACAATAACCCGGAAATTTAGGCAGTCCCGAGCTTGCAGCGTTCCCTAAAGTGTCGAAAACACCATCCATATGCTTCGATTTTCAAACTTAAATTTTAATATTTTTGTTTTAAAGACACGTCCTGATCCTAAATAATTTAAGTTGGAAGATATTCTTAGAGGCTATCGTTGTAGGCTTAGCAATAAAAGAGAACAATCGAAATATTTCTCGTCGCTGTTTAGGGTAACGTTACTGGTGAATCATTACAGCAGGTTATGCGCAGTATATTTTATTGTTTGTAATTAATTCAAATAGAACTATTATTTTTATTTTGCTTTTAATGTATATGTTTTAACGTAGCAGTATGCAAGCTGATTAATTGAGTAAAATGTTCATAATTTCTCTTATAAATAAATCATTGAAAATTGAAAGATTTTTTAAATAGCAATTTTGCTTTGAAATTCTACTATAGCTGTATGATTATCGCTTGGATATCTGTTGCAAAGTTTATATTGTTTATATATAAACAATATAAACTTTATATATATATTTACAATATAAACTTATGTATATATATATTTACAGGGCTTATCCACAGTTCCGTGATATTGCTGAGATGACCTAGGCAGTAAATAGCACATGCGTAGCGGCGCAGAAGAAGAGACTAGCAAGCTACTGCTCAACCTTCCCCTAGGAAATAGATCTGAATTTATACCTAAAAGAAGAAGTAATCTTTCCTAATAAACTACAGAATTTATGTAATTTTATATATACAATTACATANGATAGATTTCGTTTGGCAATCACCCATTTCAGCTGATCGCCAAAGTTTAGGGTTATAAGAGGGCGGTCAGCCAAGACAGTGCGATATATATAATACTATTGTTATATATAACAATAGTTTGCTAGATATTTGATAATTGAAAACTAGTAACTGTAACTGTACTAGCTCACTTCTTCATGTTTGATAAAAAAAACTGCTATTTTCACTACATGTTATTTTTTCTCAATTTATCCACGTTAATTATTTACTATGTAGATTGTTATTACTTATTAGAATATTGAGCAGAAATAAATTAAATCTGATTTCAAGTGTATATGACAATTTGTTTCAAGGTTACGAGCATTTTTATGCAGCTGTTTATGTTTCACTACTTCAAAAATTTTCGAATTTCGGATTTTTTAGAAATAAGTCAGTATAGTGTGTAATTTTAATCCTGAATTGAATTTTACATCATTGTTAAACATTAACTATAACTTATGAGCAATTATACTACTGCCATTGTTTTTATTACTTCAATTTTGCAGTTCAAATTTGAGGTAAGAAGCGTATATATATTTTTATGATGTTTAAATTAATGTGATTGTAAAATAATGATAATAGTTCAAATTTCTTTGGCCGAGCATTTATCTACATTATTGTAAAAACAGATTTAAATCAACTTAAAGAAGAATCTTGTTTAAATTTTTATATATAAGGTTCTTTGCAAAAGCAACTTTTTTAAATGCATAATATATGTTTTTTTTTTTTTTAAGACTAGTTCTTCATAGCGCATACTATCTAATCAGAGAAAAACGTGGAATGGAATTGTCTTAATCAAAAATCTTTTTTGTTATATGTAGTAACTTTCTCAAAAGAGTAATTTATTATTGTCAAATTTTGATCATTAATATTAAAGGCAACTTTTAAAAGATAATGTTAAATAATTTATTATTTTTTCGTCTCATTGTGTTTGTGCAAATTTAATTTCGATAACACATAATAATTTACTGATAGTTTCGAAATTAAAATGTTATGTTAATTTTTTGCAAAGATTGTTAGTTTAATAGAACACCTTTGAATAATTATCGAATTGATGAAAATTTCTGATATGCCCATAAAAGTTATTTTAACATTATAGAAAAATATTAGCAATTTTTATGATATTAGTTGTTTTCCTGGTTTCATTCCCTGGAAAAATTTCTGCCTTGCGTTTGAAATTTGTTTTTAGGTGTTTTGCTAAATGAAATTTCAAATACTAAAAGAATAAAGTTGCATAAACTTAATAATTATATAGTGTGGTTTTTATTATATAATTTCAGAATATAAATAAGGAATGATAATTGTGAAATTACAAATGGCTTCAGTTACACATTTAAAAAATATATATATTACAAACTAACAAATTAAATTGAGATTTTGATAAAATAAGCCCAGGTTTTTAAAAAAAAATTAGAGTACATTTTAAAATTAAAGACTTGAAAATTGTTAATGATATAAAATTTGTCAGAAGACCCATTGTATGAATAAAAGAAAAAAATATCAATAAAAGTTGCAATAAAATATTAATTTCCTAATTAAGTTTGAAATATTCAAAAAAATCAGCTGAACATAAGATATACTTCCGAGTAAGGAGGAGAAAAATGAAAGGTAGCAGAATTCGCTGATATAATTTTATTTAGTATTTCTGTATTGCTAAGTAAATAATGCATGGAATGACACAAAACTATTGTTCTATATTTTTCTGCTTCACAACAATACAGAAAATTAAGTAAAATTATATCGCCGAATTATATACCTTTCATAGGCCCTAGGCACAGCCGTTTATGGGCCCTCCCCTCTTTTCGTCCCGCAGTGGACTGATCGTTAAGNAAATTGCAAAAAAGTAATATATTAGATCATAAAATTCTGCAAAATAATTTATTACCGTAAAACATTATATTTTTATTTGTAGCTTCATAATTTTGTGCAAAATACACTTGTTGTTTTTAAAGCTAAACTATTTTTGACAAAAAAAATTTTCTCCCAAGTTTTTCGTAGGCACGTGCCTAGTGTGCCTATAGGTTAATCCGGCCCTGAATGCAGAGCAAACAGCGACCTCTTGTATCTTTCTAATATTAGAAGTTGTGCAAGATAACGTTAGATTTTGCCGATTTTCTGATGTTATCTAATATTAGGTGCTACTTGGGATAGGATGAAATTGCAAAAAATGCATATTACTTTCAACAATAAATGTTTTTATTTGTAATTGATTAATAAAATAGCTTCTGATCTTCAAAATTTCTTGAATTTTCATAATACTTAAACATAACTATAATGACTAGAATAAATTACACAATGCAGTAGTTAAGAATAAAAAAATAAATCAAATCAAATCATGACAAACATTTCACTACTTAATTATTTTATTTTAAAACAAAACACAATATAAATATAACTTCACTAAACTATAAAAGCAATACATTCTTACCATCATTGTTTAATATAAGCTTATCAATATTCTTTTGTTAAAATATAAGTTAAGAACACGTATTTGTAATTAAATAAAATAATTTTTATTTTTATTTCAAAAAGCAACAGTAGGACCATGAGTTATCATTTTAATTATTATTATTTTTAAATTAAAAAAAATTCCAAAACTTTACAGTCATTTCATACAGTCTAAAGTTTTTCTTCAATTCAATTTTCTGTTTTTGTGCAACTGACCTATATTTCAGAGCAATAAACTGAAAATCTTTGCTTTATTGAAAGATTTAATAAAATGGTCAGTGACATTAATGCATATCACACAAACACACAGCAGGGATGAATCGCACAGGGA